GGTCTATGTGCATATTAAACAAAGGACACAGATGGATTCATGACAAAATTGTGTTTTGGTGATGGTGATGTGTTTGTAGATCTTACTTTACTGAACATTCTTGCTGCTTACAATTATCTCTATCTATAATGATCTTGGCCCAGTAGTTACAGTGGAAAATATTTTGTAAAAATTTACAAAAATTTATGAAAATTATAAAAAATTGACTATAAAGGGCAATAACTCCTTAAGGGGTCAATTGACAATTTTGGTCATGTTGACTTATTTGTAGATCTTACTTTGCTGTACATTATTGCTGTTTACAGTTTATCTCTATCTATAATAATATTCAAGATAATAACCAAAAGCTGCAAAATTTTCCTAAAATTACCAATTCAGGGGCATCAACCCAACAACGTGTTGCCTGATTGGTCTGAAAATTTCAGGGCAGATAGATCTTGACCTAATGAACAATTTTATTCTGTCAGATTTGCTCTAAATGCTTTGGTTTCAGAGATATGAGCCAAAAACTGCATTTTACCCTATGAACTATTTTTTAGCCATGTCGGCCATCTTGGTTAGCGGGCGGGTCATTGGACACATTTTTTAAACTAGATACCCTAATGATGATTGTGGACAAGTTTGGTTAAATTTGTCTTAGTAGTTTCAGAGGAGAAGATTTTTGTAAAAGATTACAAAAATTTACGAAAAATGGTTAAAAATTGACTATAAAGGACAATAACTCCTTAAGGGGTCAACTGACCATTTTGGTCATGTTGACTTATTTGTAGATCTTACTTTGCTGAACATTATTGCTGTTTACAGTTTATCTCTTTCTATAATAATATTCAAGACAATAACCAAAAACAGCAAAATTTCCTTAAAATTACCAATTCAGGGGCAGCAACCCAACAACGAGTTTTCAGATTCATCTGAAAATTTCAGGGCAGATAGATCTTGACCTGATAAACAATTTTACCCCTGTCAGATTTGCTCTAAATGCTTTGGTTTCAGAGATATAAGCCAAAATCTACATTTTACCCCTATGTTCTATTTTTAGCCATGGCGGCCACCTTGGTTAGTTGGCCGGGTCACCGGACACATTTTTTAAACTAGATACCCTATTGATGATTGTGGACAAGTTTGGTCAAATTTGGCCCAGTAGTTTCAGAGGAGAAGATTTTTGTAAAAGTTTACGGACGACGGACGACGGATGCCAAGTGATGAGAAAAGCTCACTTGGCCCTTTGGGCCAGGTGAGCTAAAAACTGCATTTGACCCTTATATTCTATTTTTAGCCATGGCGGCCATGTCTGTCGATGGATACAAACTTTGGATACAGTTTATAAACAAAATACCATAAGGAACATTTAGTTAAAGTTTGAAGGTAATTGGCCCAGTAGTTTCAGAGGAGAAGATTTTTAAATGTTAGCAAACTTGATGGATAAATTGTGTAAAATTGTCTTTAAAGGGCAATAACTCCTTAAGGGGTCAATTGACAATTATGGTCATATTAACTTTTTTGTAGATCTTACTTTGCTGAACATTATTGCTGCTTACAGTTTATATATATCTATAATAATATTCAAAATAATAACAAAAAACTGCAAAATTTTGTTAAAACTACCAATTCGGTGGCAGCAACACAACAATGGGTTGTTCGATTCGTCTGAAAATTTCAGGGCCGATAGATCTTGACCAATTAAACAATTTTACCCTATGTCACATTTGCTCTAAAAGATTTAGTTTTTGAGATATAAGCCAAAAACTGCATTTGACCCTTATGTTCTATTTTTAGCCATGGCAGCCATGTTTGTCGATGGATCAAAACTTCGGATACAATTTATAAACTAGATACCCTAAGGAACATTTAGTTAAAGTTTGAAGGTATTTGGCCCAGTAGTTTCAGAGGAGAAGATTTTTTAAATAGTTTACGACGACAGACGACGATAGAAACGACGACGACGACGACAGACGACAGACGAAGAGGGACGCCAAGTGATGGCATAAGCTCACATGGGACCCTTCGGGCCACGGTGAGCTAATAAAAAAAAACACAAAAACACAAAAAACAGTCAGAATCCACTGCGGATGAACATGTTTTTTCATAAAACTAGCCATATGCACACTATATTTAAAGTCAAGCAGATAGTTCATTTGATATACTTTAAGCCAACAATGCCTTGCTTTAAAATATAGCACTTGACTACAGACAGTTTTGAATCACAGTTTAATATACATGCTAAAAAAAGCCAAATAATTATAATTAAAAATATTGCCATGAAAACTAAAAAATTCCACAGAAATAAATCAAAATTCAATATCATATGACATTACTAAATAATAAAAATACCATTTTGAAGGTGTTTATTTTAATGTTCACTAACTTTCATTCTTGAAGGTTTTTGCTATATTTAGAACTAATTCTCCTATGCTTGTTTCTAAATGGGTTCATTTTTTGCTGGTTAGAGAACTCAATCTTACTAAACAAAAATGATGATCTTCCTTTATGTTTGTAAAGAAAAATCATTGTTAACAACAGCAAATCCTTTAAATGTCTGGAAGGTCAATAAAAAATGAGAATAAAGTTACCAAATGTCTTAAATTAATATTGTATGATCCAACAACTTAATGCTTCCTATTGTGTATTAACAAAAATATTGATAAATTTCTTAAAACGGACAATATCTGATCATGCTGATGGGTTCATCAAGACTTGGAACAAAGGAGTAGGTTCAAGATTAGCTAAAATTTGCACTAACATTTTTATGTTTTTTTTTAAATCAGGCCAAAAGACTACAAATTTTGCATAGAATTAGTTGTGATATTACTATTTATATAAAAAAAAACTTCTTTTCGACATCTCACATTATTAATGACGCAGTTATGACCCCCAATTATTGCATGGTTTGTGTTGAAACATAAGGTTTGGGCCAATTTTACCATAATTTACTTTGGTAGCCATCCCTGATAAAAGGTTGGCAACTTCGCTTAACTAGCAAATTCTGTACATTCTTTTCGGTATAAATTTAGTTGGGTTTTATTTTTTAAAATTTATTTCAGACATATGCATATTTGGACCTATAAATCAGGTACAAACATGCATGAAATACTTGCCATTAGACATTAAATAATAAATTATTTCAGCAATCAATTATCAATTACCGCTGACTGACCTAAGGGGGGCCCGCTCTAGTCATGCTTCAGTGATTCCCTATATAATCAACCAAATTTTTCCCAAGAAAGGGGGGGCCCGGGCCCCCCAGGCCACCCCACCCCTGGATCCGCCTATGATTCTGAAACTGACTCATATTAACTAGAGGCTCTCAAGAGCCTGTGTCGCTCACCTTGGTCTATATGCATATTCAACAGGGGACACTCTCCAACATTGTAAACGAGAATAGAATTAATGACAAAAATCTTTGTTTTTTTTTTTTGTATCTTATATTGCTGATCATTGAAGTCTGTTTAGTTTCTCTCTATCTTCATGATCTTATTTAGCTTTTGCTCTAAACACAAAAGAGGGTAAAAAAACTCCTATAAAGAGTAACAGTCTACTTATTATATCAGCAAAATTTGACTTGTTAGTAGGTCTCGTCTTGCTTATCATTTTTGATTATTGAAGTTTCTATCTATCTATTATAATTAATATCATACAAGGAAAAATGCCAAAAAAAGGGTAAAAATCATAATAAAAGGGCAATAACTCCAATAAGGAGTTGTTGGACAATTTCTGCCATTTGTCTTAATTGTAGATCTTGTCTTGCTGATCATTTTTGTATATTTAAACTTCTTTCTATCTATTATAAGTTTTAAGATATAAGACAAAAACGCAAAAAAAATTGTACAAATCGGCATCAAAGGGAAATAACTCTAATAAGGAGTGAACTGATGATTTCCACCATAAGACTTATTTGTAGAACTTGTCCTTCAGATCATTTTTGCAATTTAAAGTTTCTCTCTATCTTTTATAGTTTTATAGATATGATAATAGGCAAAAATTGAAAAAAGTGGTAAAATTTGTCATTTAAGGGCAATAACTCCTACAGGAAATTGTCTTACAGTTTTGACGTATATGGATAATTGGAAGAGCTCAACATTCTGAACAATTTTACCCTCTTCAGATTTCCTCTTTTTATTACGGTTATCAGAATAATAGACAAAACTTGCATTTTACCCCATATGTTCTATTTTTTGCCATGTAGGCCATCTTTAGTTGGCAGGCGGGGTCATCGGACATATTTTTTAAACTGAATACCCTAATGATGATTGTGGCTAAGTTTGATTCTATTTGGCCCAGTAGTTTCAGAGGAGAAGATTTTTGTAAAAGATTACAAAAATTTACGAAAAATTGTTAAAAATTGACTATATGGGCAATAACTCCTTAAGGGGTCAATTGACCATTTTGGTCATGTCGACATATTTGTAGATCTTACTTTGCTGTACATTATTGCTGTTTACAGTTTATCTATATCGATAATAATATTGAAGATAATCACCAAAAACTGCAAAATTTTCTTAAAATTACCAACTCAGGGGCAGCAACCCAACAACGGGTTGTCTGATTTGTCTGAAAATTTCAGGGCAGATAGATCTTGACCTGATGAACAATTTTACCCATGTCAGATTTGCTCTAAATGCTTTAGTTTCAGAGATATAAGCCAAAATCGACATTTTACCCCTATGTTCTATTTTTAGCCATGGCGGCCATCTTGGTTGGCGGGCCGGGTCGTCGGACACATTTTTCTAAACTAGATACCACAATGATGATTGTGGCCAAGTTTGGTTAACTTTGGCCCAGTAGTTTCAGAGGAGAAGATTTTTGTAAAAGTTAAGGGACGACGGACGACTGACGACAAGTGATGAGAAAAGCTCACTTGGCCCTGTGGGCCAGGTGAGCAAAAAAGTAATCTAACATCTTTTCAGAGGTTTGCAGTTTTTTCTATTCCACAATGAAAACTAGTGAACTTCAAATAAACCCTTTTTAAAGTAATTCCCACATGCAGATATAGAAAGCCTTACTCTTCTAGTCACATCAAGAATTTCTTCATCCTAATTAACACAAAAATCAATTTGATTAAAGGTTCCATATAAATGGAAAAGTCTATCTCTTCTTGTTATGTAAATGTCATGGAGCAGCTTATAAGGTGTGATTGTGAACTTTCAGATATTGAGATTGAAGTCTGTGACATGGCTTGTATACCAAGTTAGAGATGTTGTAAAATTTAACATTAAGGAAAAAACAGCTATTAATATTATTTTTGTGCCTGTTTCTTGAATATGAGTTCCAAATATGCATATGGTCTAAATCATGTGTATATCACATTTTTAGGTTCTCTCTTTCAAAACAAACAACCAATTATCAACAGACATTTTGAAGTGATAATATTTGTTAGAGAGTTTCTGATCATGATAATTCCCTTGCAAATTTCCACTGACAACCCATGTTTGGCAAACAAATATCAATAGCTTATTCTTTGCATTCCAAATAAATTTAAAACAATCCAATGATGACTATCAAAAGAGTAATGTTCTGGACAAGTGTTTAAGCTGACTTAATTGTCTATATCTTACCTTTGTAAAATAAGGTGTGATAAATACAAAGAAAATATCATACAGGAACAAAAGTATCAGTAATATTGAGCAGATCTGTAATATAATAAAATATACCTTTAATTCTAATTCATTATATTATATAGCACCAAAAAATTTGAACAGATCCGATATATACTGTAAATTCATAAATTATTGGGAGAATTTGTTATTGTGATTAAGAGATGACCAACCTTAATTCGAAATTTTTTATTGCTCTTTCAGGAAAAGCAGCATACAAATATATGTGTCAGATATCAGAATGTGATATCTGTAATTGTGTAGTTAATGATGGTTGAGGTCAGCCATAACTGCTTTTCCTTTATTGTTATAGTATATATATATTTATCTTACCTCCTATACATTTCTAGGAATATAACTGGTTAAAAGCAACTGCGTGGAAACCGTGTATATTCCATATTGGTTAGAAGGCGGGGCTTATTTCAATACACGGCAAGTAGTAGTGTTATGTCCCTTTATAAAAACAACACAGTGTTGAGGAAAAATCTTTAAGGTTTCAACAGACGAAGAAATTGATGATGAACGATTGAAATAAATTCATAAAACACATTTAAAACTAACAAGTTGTAATTGTTGGCATTTGTTTTTGTATAGACCAATGGAAGTAGGTTCTTAATACTAACGGTATTGAAGACTTAATCACTTTTTTGTATTGTTAGGCTGCTGTCTCATTGATTTTTACCTTTATCTCTTTTTATTAATCTTGAAAAAAATGTAAATTCCAGTTTATACATGTACAGATTACGCAAGTTTGTCAAAAAAAGAAAACAGTTTATATTTGTAGTTTCATTTACACCACAGTATCAAATTAATATGTATAGTCATGAATTGCTTAATGAAATAGTTTATTTTTTTCCCCATAAATGAACGTGGTATAAGCTAGTTCAATACTGAGTGTTTGATACAAAACTCAATATAAAGTACAACTTCACAAATTTTAACAGATGGAAGTATAATGGATACAAACTTCCATTCTCAATTTTATTTGATAGACTCACCTTTAAATTAGGAACTTGAATGGTTTTTAGCATGTTGATACAGAAAGCCAAACCTAATATGTCTTGTAATACCCAAGCATAGCTGAAATAAACTTCAGTATATTAAATTCATATACAATACATCAGTAAAGTTTGTTTGTATCGTCCATTCAAATACTATGAAAGTAACTTTATTTTTTATATGTTGAAAAAAATGTTTTGTGATTTATGATTTTGTGGTTTCACTTATCACAGAAAAAATCAAGGTAAAATATTTTCCATTATATCAGAAATTTTGTAAAGCATTGTTCAGAAAGAACTTTAAAATAATAGTTTGGTGAAAGATTTCGTTTTCACAAAAACTGCATATGGATACTTAGGAAATGAATGAAATTAAAACAATTCATACATCCTGACCTCCTGACCTAATATATCTTTTTAATATGAACTTTTTATATAATTGGCTTTCTACCAATATATTGAATGAAAGAACCTTAGTGAGCGCTCACATAACCCACGTCCCCACATTGTCATTGGAGAAATAAAATAAGTGTAAGAAAAAAAAATTTTATCAGAAAAAAAAATTGAATCATAATTTCCTGTCAATATGCACATCTACATAGTATGTCCTTATTATCTACACAGTTTCATGAAATTCTGTTGTGTGGTTTGAGAGGAGTTGCCATGACAAAAGGTTGCAGTAGTATATTGGGCAAATAAGTTCAAAGGGGCGTAACTCCTGGAAAAAAATTGAATTGTAATTTCCTGTCGATATGCACATCTACTTAGTATGTCCTTATTATCTGAAAAGGTTTCATGAAATTCTGTTGTGTGGTTTGAGAGGAGTTGCGATGACAAACTGTTGCAGTAGTACATTAAAGTAAATAAGTTCAAAGGGGTGTAACTCCTAGAAAAAGAATTGAAATGTAATTTCCTGTCGATATGCACAACTACATAGTATGTCCTTATTATCTAAAAAGGTTTCGTGAAATTCTGTTGTGTGGTTTGAGAGGAGTTGTGATGACAAGAAACAGGACTGACAGACTGACGGACTGACGGACGGACTGACGGACGGACGGACAGACGGACGGACGGGTCAAAAACATTATACCCTCCGCAACTCGTTGCGTGGGGGTATAATAAAGCTATTTTCAATTGATTTTTACACTTTGTTTTTATATTGTGCTATTACACCACTGTCCCATGCTATGGAAGCTGAGATCTCATTAAATGTATTTCTGCTTAGTTCTATCTGATGAATTATGCCCTTTTCAACTGATTTTTATAGTTTGTTCTTATGTCGTACTGTTACACCACTGTCCCAGGTTAGGGAAGTTGAATGCCCACAAACATGTTTAACCCCACCACATTCTTTATGAGCTTGTCCCAAGTCCTGAGCCTGTAATTCTGTGGTTGTCGTTGGTTCATGTGTGTCTTGTATGTTTTTTTGTTATTGTATTGTTAGGCTGTTAGTTTTCTTGTTTAAATTGTTTAACAATTTTCATGTCTGGGCCTTTTATAGCTGACCATATGGTATGAGTTTTTCCTCATTGTTGAAGACCATACAGTGACCTATAATTGCTTACATCTACATCATTTGAATTATGGTGGATAGTTGTCTCATTGGCAATCATACCACATCTCCTCATTTTTATACAGTTATTTTTATGTCTTTCTACCTTTCATGTCTTTCTATAGCCCAAACAATGGCAAAGGTTGCACATAAGGCATATAATATCAAATTCTTGACTTCTGGCTGACTCTTACAGCATGGTAACTTTGGTATACTACAATATATAAATAAGAAACATAAATTGTATCTCTTTACTTGAGGCTGTTCAAGATTTTAACACGTGGAATCGAGGGGATGGTAGGCACTTTTTTTAAAACCCTAACCACCCATAATATAAAATTTTCATTTTACTTAAAATTCTTACAAATATCTAGCCAGAATACAACCACCCAAAATTTATACATTTGAGTGCCTCCTATAACCCCCACCCATGCATTTAAATATAGAACTGCCCTTAAAAAAATCTTGATATTATTGTATCAAATTGTGTTTTATTTTGGATATGCATTTAAAAAAAACTTAAATTTGTGACTGTAAAATCTAAGATTTATGTATGCAAGTTTTAAAATACATTATGGTTATTTCTATTCTAGAAAATGCAATTGCTAAATTGCATTTGTTAAATGTATTCTCAGATAAACAGATTGTACAGAACATAACATCAGATAAATTATGGATTTTACCCCCTCCAAACATATTATACTGTCCAATCAAAATCTGTAATTAACAAATGCATTCCATAACAATAATATTTATTTTAAACTATGCAAGTACAGTCAACACCACTTAATTGCATACCGCTTAATAGCATAATTCAGTTAATTGCATAGTTTTCTCCTGCACAAAACCATTTCCCATTCATTTAATGTTAAATTGTCCGGTTATATGCATAGCTTACAAGTGGCCTTTCGGTTTATTGCATAGAAAATAATCACCATCTAGATATGCTTAGTTAAAACTGACGAGATTTTTGACCGGAAACGGCAATTTGGTGAGTATATTTTTCTTGAATGCATCATTATTTTCGTTATTATTTCATATTTACTTTTGTGTTATTTAAATAAAGTTTTAAAACAGTTTCTTTCGTGTTTATATGATGGAATTTGATTTAAAAATAAACCTCGAAGTCTACACAGGTAAAGTTTCCCATGTTCTATTTTAAGCCTTGAGGTCATAAAAATGTCAAACAGGTAATTGTTGTAAAAACACTGACCATTCTATCTCAAAAGGTGTTAATAATTGATTGGATTTCAAACATTGTCGAAAGATTACATTTGGGGTGAATTTTAAAAACAATAACGCCTGCTAATTATCGATCATTATCCAATGTGAACTCTCGAAATTTGGCTTGGGGTGATCTGCATTTATGTTAAATATTACAGGGTATTTATATACATGTATAAGGTTAAAGAATGTTATACACCAATCATTTATTTTTAATATTTTATGAAAAGAGCATTTACTTCTAATTATTATATTTTCTCACTTTAAACACTCATGTCCATCAAATTACCCGTACAGGGCCCCATTACTGCTTTGCATATACGAAACTAACGAGGTTAAATAAACAGTGTAACATAACTGTGCAAGCTGTAAATACTGCATATCAAAGGCAGTTCATTACACATCTATTGTTAAAATGATTATAAACTGTGTAGTATTGTTAAACAGTTTATTTTAATCAAAGCGTAACAATGTACATTGTACATACGGGTCATAGAAACAAATCTATTTTTAAAACAATTTGTTTTATTAATAATAATAATAATAATCTTTATTTCAAGAGGGTATGCTCAATTAGTACAAACACTATTCTCCCTTGAGGCCCTCATATTATTATTCTCGTATCCCAGGCAAAGGAAACATCGGTACGCAAATAAACTAAAAAATGTGTTTATAATCTTTATTGAAACTATACAAAATAAAATAACATGTATGACACTAGACATATAACTTTTATTAGAATAAATCAACATTTAATATGTTGTGATTATAGACTTTCATCTTTCTTCAGGGATTTCCTTTACTCATCTGTTCTATCGATGTTTTTTGACTCCGTTATTTGGCATTTCGGATATAATATATATGCAAGTAACCAGAATCGACTGTATTCAATCAGTATACTTTCTTTGAAATTAGATAATTAGTTTACTAATTAGGGTTAGGGTTAGGGTTAGGGTTAGACAACAAAGATTGTTCCCAATTGCTTTTTGTGTTGTTGGGTTACTGTCTTGTTGACATCAACCTCACATCTCCTTTTAATCATACATGTTGTTGACCTGGAGAGATGTTTTTTTCATTTGAAATTATGTCCTTGGGTTGTTAAATCATTGATGTATACCTCAAATCTCCTTTTATTCATATTGTAACAAAAAGAAACTTTTAGCTAAAAAGATTTTTGTAGACTTACCTTGTTCTTATAGGGATATATTTCCAGACTGGCTGTATACAATAATATAGACCCATACTTCCAGCTATACAGAATAAACTGATGATAACAAATACTGAAAAATAAAATATATTTTTATATTTTATAGAGAAACGCCAATTGTCCACCTTAAGTAACACTTTTAATAAACAGAAATAAAAGAAGAAAGTGTCCATGGAACACAGATGCCCCCATTTGTAAATATGCAAGAGTCAATGAAAGATAAAAGTGAAGCCTCCCAAATTCGAACTTGATCTGTGTTTTGTGGTAACAAGCATTGTGTATAATTTCATAACATTTGGATGAGGCAAAGTAAAGTTAGAGAACAGAAACCACTTTCGAGATTGACAGAAAGACAGAAAAGGGTAAAGTCCATAAGATACCATAACCCACTGACTCACACTATTACAATCTATTTTTAGTGAACAACAATATCTTGTCAAAACCCTTATTTGGAATATATTTTGAAGACTTCACATTATAATGAACATGGGTTCTAAGTTTAAAATCAATTTGACCACATTCGTGGTCAACAAAAGCTTTAAACAAAAACCTTCACTTGATAGAGGTTGGATGAACAAATAGATGAATAGACCGACTAATGGACAGATGAACAAACTGGAAAACAAAATGCCCCTAACTGTCACAGGCAGGGCATAAACAAAACTCTAGATATACTGTGAATTCAAAAATTATTGCATACATTTATCATTGCGATTTCTGAAGAGTAAACATAAATGTGAGATTTATTATTGCGATTTCTGAAGAGTAAACATAAATGTGAGATTTATCATTGCGATTTCTGAAGAGTAAACATATATGTGAGATTTATTATTGCCATTTCTGAAGAGTAAACATAAATGTGAGATTTATCATTGCCATTTTCGAAGAGTAAACATAAATGTGAGATTTATCATTGCCATTTCCGAAGAGTAAACATAAATGTGAGATTTATCATTGCGATTTCTGAAGAGTAAACATAAATGTGAGATTTATCATTGCGATTTCTGAAGAGTAAACAAAAATGTGAGATTTATCATTGCCATTTCTGAAGAGTAAACATAAATGTGAGATTTATCATTGCGATTTCTGAAGAGTAAACATAAATGTGAGATTTATTATTGCCATTTCAGGAAAAGCTGCATCCAGATATGTGTATCAAATATCGGAATGCAAGTTCTTATTATTGCAATACTTACTCAGTTGTTCTATTTGCATTAATAAAAGCCCACAACAATTTCTGTATTCACAGTTGTTGCATGTCAATCTTCACTCATTTTACAGTTATCCCACAATCAAATCCCTTTTAATGTGTATTAAGTCTTTTTTTACATTTATTTTTCAAGTCTATATGCTTAAGGAGGGAGACAGTTGCTTACATCCAATGTGCTATTTTGCCTTTGTTTGTTTTTGAGTTCAGAAAAGCATGGTGTTGGTGGTAGGTGTGAGCTGTCCATTATTTTAGTAATTCCTGTTATCCTTGTAAGCTTTTGTTGCCAGTCTAATGGACCTTAGGGCTGTTCCATGAATCATACATTTGTACTTAAGGAAGGTCCTTTCAAAATGGGGTTTCCACCCATAAAGGCAAATTCAGAATTTCACTTATATTTTCATAGTAACTTAAGGGGTCCCTATATTTTAAGGTAAGGGTTCAATGATTTTCAAACATTTGTATGGTATACTGTAAGGAAAGGGTTAGGGTTAGGTTTTAGGGTTTAGGGATAGTGTTATGGTTAGGTATGAGTTAGGGTTAGGTTTTTGGGTTAAGGATAGTGCTATGGTTAGGTATGGGTTAAGGTTAGGTTTTTGGGTTGAGGATAGTGCTATGGTTAGGTATGGGTTAGGGTTAGGTTTTTGGGTTGAGGATAGTGCTATGGTTAGGTATGGGTTAGGGTTAGGTTTTTGGGTTAAGGATAGTGCTATGGTTAGGTATGGGTTAAGGTTAGGTTTTTGGGTTGAGGATAGTGCTATGGTTAGGTATGGGTTAGGGTTAGGTTTTTGGGTTGAGGATAGTGCTATGGTTAGGTATGGGTTAGGGTTAGGTTTTTGGGTTAAGGATAGTGCTATGGTTAAGTATTGGTTAGGGTTAAGTTTTTGGGTTAAGAATAGTGCTATGGTTAGGTATGGGTTAGGGATAGGTTTTTGGGTTAAGGAAAGTTAAGTATTATAGTTCTATATGGTTTTGGACCCATAAGTAAATTAGGCTGTTATATAGACTTCTCAAATCCTATTGTCCTTACCCAGATAATCATAGAAAAAGTAAAGCAGCACTAAGAATGCACAGACTAAAACAAAGAAGACAATAACAGCTGGTACTGTAATGTCTAGATGTTCTTCATTGTCTTTTTCATCCTCGCTTTCATCTTTGCCCTGATCAGATGATTGAACATATTTCTTCTCTTTTTTCTTCTTTTCTTTTTCTTCTTGTTTTTTCTGCCTATTTATCAATTATAAATGCATTATTTAGTAACTTTATATACATAGCAATCAAGTAAAAAATTTTTACTAAAAAAGTCTGCTTAAGTTCACCTACAAAAATTATCTTCTATTTTCTTCTATTTTCATTAGAGTTGTCCATCTTTGGTATGTATCTATATTGTATAATGTAAATCATATACCTATATGGAGTTATGTTAATTTTCCATCTATGATAGGTTTTCGACAGAAACAATCCTTTCCCCCTTTTTGTTAGACTGAAATATCAAAAATCATTGTTGACACACATTTTAACTTTCAAAACAAATAATGTGAAGTTTTGTTAATTTATCGATACAATAAATGGAAATTATGTGAGATGAATTTAATAATGCAAAACTTTTCATAACACTTTTAAAACAAGCCAGATTTAACACATTCGTGTGTAGGGTTTTGAAAATCTTATTGATTCATGTGTTGGAAATCATACTTTGACCTATGGATATTCTTTTCGTGCTCTCTTCGTGACAGTTCTTAACTTTTTTCATCTATATATACCTTTTATTCTATCAAATGACCAAATATTCTTATTTTCTATAGAATAACAGCCACGTACTTTATAATGGGGTGGGGAGGGGGAGTATAATATTTAATCCAGATTCTCAGTTTAAAAAAGAATTGTGTTGCTAGACAAAAGAGAGAAAACAATTATTCTGAATAGTTAGTTAAAAATTGTTGAAAAAATAATCTGCTTTTCGGCGATAAAAATGTCATGAAAAAAAAGGAAAAAAACAGCATCCCCCTTTCATAAATTAAGTTGATACAACAAATTACTTACAAAGTGACTTGTATTTTTCATACACCGTAACAATTCATTTGAGTCTTGCATCAAGGAGTTACAGTTATGTTTTTATTGTAACTGGATAATGATTTCTAAAAGTTTATATTTATAGAATAACTAATCGAAGAATTCAAATAGAGAAAAATAATCAACAAGTGACCGAACAACACATTAATTCACGAATGCGCGTAGCGCATGAGTTAATTATCAATGTTGTTCGGTCACGAGTTGAATATTTTTCGATATTTGAATTCTTTGATTAGTTATTCTTTTTATTACATTGGCAAATGGCTTTTTTTAATGAAATTAATGTAGAAAATGTAAGGAACTATATCTTTTTTCTACGCATTCATAATTTGTTTTGATCCGACGTTATCGACGTCCTGACAACGCCTATTGTTGTATGACGTCAGAGAGTGAAATAACCACGTTTATTTCACATGTGAAATTATCGGTTTTTATTTGACTGGGAAATCAATATAATTCATTGCTACCAATGTAATAACTATTAATAATTAATGAGTTTTATTTCACATTATAAATGAGCCATATGGCGTAGTAAAAAGTGAACGCATCAGAAAAGAATATCCCACTTTAGTTTGATAAGTAAAATATGATGCAAATCCTGCAAACCTTTGCAGAAAATAATATTTTTTGACAGTATATAAGTCAGATAATGTATATTTTAAGGTTTTTATTGTAGTATTACACACCTCGGTGTGGGTTATACAACAAGAAAAACCTTAAAATATGCATTATCTATAACTTATTTTATGTTTATTGATTGAGAAAGAACTTTTTTTTCTTTCATGGGGGGATGTTTGTTGTTGTTTATGTTGTTGCTTTTTGTAAAGTTTTTTTAAGCAATTCCTGGAAATAATGTATAGCAATGTTGAAAGGCTTTAAAAATTTACAATGCATGTGTAGTGTAGGTTCACTGGAGTTTCAACATGGGATTTCTGGTACAGACATGCGGCTGGGATTTCAAAAAAACTCCCCAGTTTATATATTGAAGTCTTTTAAAACTCCCCCCCCCCCCCCCCCATATATCAAATGGCTGTCCCTTTATACTGCATGATGTACATATACATGTTTGGCAGTAAGGACTATTCCATTAAAATGAATATTGCCAGATAAAACGAGAAGTTTTAACTATGGACGTGGGTTGTTCAAATTGGTCATTTTATTTGTATGTCTATCATTTAAAGATAGTATGTCAGTCATTTGGAGATTTTAGAAGTCCTTTTCTATCTCTCCCTCTTTTGTTTTAATGGTATAGCCCTATGTCTCATTTTTTTATTTTACCTATCAATAAATGTTAGCCCCGACCAGAATCCTCCAACAGCAACACATACAACAGCCAGCAGAAATATAACCACCATACAGGGATCAAATTTGTCTGAGACTTCTGGAGCATAAATCATCAATTCCACGGACTTTCCTAGTTTCTTAAAAAGAAAAACCAAGGACTAATCATTTACAAATCAGTAAAAAGGTCAGTATTTCAACATTTACAGTTTTGACATATAGAATAAATGAAAGTTGCATATTTTATAATAAAACAACTCACCTGAACATTTAAGATTTAGTTCATTACTCTTTCATATCTTATTCATAAAGGAACTAATGCTGACAACTTTGTCACAGGAAAGAGTAGATATACGTAACTCTTTCACATCTGATTGATAAAAAGACTTTAAAAATGCTGGGTTTTATCACATGAAAGAAAAGAGACTATGGAAGTCTATAATGTGCATCTCACCCTAAAAGACACATTACGGAGACCCATATACTGTAAATTCAGAAATTATTGCATGGTTGCCAACTCACATGATATTCGCGCGTAATACCAATTTTTCAACGGTTTACACACGAAAATTTTGTCACATGGCGTGTACAGGCCATTACACGCTTTTTCGTTATTTTGAGTTTTTCGGTCGTAAAGTGATATCACAATTCTCAGTTTTTTTCATAATTAGACAATAAATACCAAAAATTTCAAAGCATTCGTTGGTTCGGGATTGTTTATTTTTCAATATGGACGAACAACAAACGCCCTTCAGGTAAGTTTGTGAGTAGTTTTTAAGGTTTTGTGACTTTCTTTCTTTCAAATTCACTTTGGGGAAATGTCCAGCAGAAAGAGGTCGCTTTCTGGACCTGTACCGTTGTCTAAAGAGCCTAGTGCTAAGCGAAATGATACATGTGTTGCATGAACTTACTACAGGTTTACTAGTAATGACATAATAAGTCATATCAAATATGTTTATTTTCCTAATCAAAGGGCCATAAAGGGCATATTAATTACAAAGTATTAGGCATCTTAAACATTATCAATCATTTGCAATCATAACAACATATGTGAGAGGAGAATTAGCTATTTCAGTATTTGATAAAGCATTCAATGGTATTCAAATTATAAAATTATTTTTCTTTTTCAGTTTCAAATCTAGTGTACATATTTCCACAGGCCATAGGGGATGGGAATATCACAGAACTGTTGGATCAGTATCAGCTGTCTTCCCCTGATGAACTACCAAGCTTTGACTAGGAAATAGCAACATTCTGTGGAGCAATAGCAGACATAGATGACATTTTTAATGACAAAAAACGTCATGACATTCTTTCAAAGCTTGTTAAAGCTATTTTAGTTCTGCCAAATAGCAATTCTGACTATGAGAGAGCATTTTCAATCATAAAGATGATTTACACTGAATTCAGATCAGAACTCAACATTTTTTTTTTTTTTTTGTGTGCATTGTTATCATGTAAATTTAACCAAACTGGCAGTTGTGTTGTTTTGAAAGCTGCAAAACAGGCCACTGTTGAATACAAAAAAATTTTACACTAGAATATTGTTTTTTTATATTAACAAATTTGTATTATGTTCATATTAAAAAGTCTGCATCTACGTCACGCGTTTTCACACGCTTTTTGACATGTCATTTCATGATTTGTCATTGTCAGAGGTTGGCAACTATGATTATTGAGATGTTTTTATTATTTGCAAAAATTGCAACAGTATCAGGTTTGAATAATAAATACATGCATTCATAATTTCAGAAGTGATTACCATTCTTAAAATTTTTGCAATCGCATTAATTAGATTTCACATTTTTGCCAGAGATCAAGGATTTGCAATAATAAATGCATGCATTAATTTCTGAAATACAGCATACAAATTTTAGTGCAAACAATTTGTTTTCTCAAATAGATTCTAATGAAGTACTATTAAATTTTAGCATGTTCTTTTTTGCCTTTCTATATCCTTTTATAACTAACCTGTATTTTGATGAAATCTGACTTTAGCATTGTTCCAGTTGGAATGGTAAATCTATGTATATCTGATGTCTGGTTAATTCCTGGAGAAACCTACAGTAGCATAGAGCAAAATTATCATTGATCATTAACACTAATCCACAATTCCACAAATATGTTGTACTGCTGATTCATTATTGGTCGTTGGATTCCAATATTCCAATTTTTTGTTGATTTCTTGGAAACAGGTGAACAATGATTTTAACTGTTCAACGAATGACAAATGTTCTTTTACAATATGTAGGTTGTATGTAGATAACTTTAAGGTATTGGTTTGCTCACTGTTGAAGGCAGTATCATGACCTATAGTTGCTTAAATCCACTTCATTTGGAATTTGGGTGGATAGTTGTGGTATTGGCAATAAAAAAAATTTACCACATCTCCTTATTTTATATTAAGCATGTTCAGGGTGTACAGTGACTAGTTTTTTCTCTAAACATGCAATCTTTTATCATGACATTATATATACCAGTGCATATCCAAAATACAATTTATCACAAAGTTAAAGCTTAATTTAGATAGAAATTGATGTATCAAATTGCTAAGAAATTAATTAATAAACTTATCTGAATCCATCTAATAAACAACAAAATCCCCAAAACAATAAAACTTTAAATGAGTACATACATATGTACTTGATACAACTATGACAGCTTTAGCCTGGTGTTGCTGTGCCATGTCTGTTTTCTCTACAAAAGTACAGTTGCCCCTAGCAACAGCCACAATTTTGTTGAGTGCACTTCCACCATCATACACACTGCTGTCACCACAACCATAATCTGGTGTGAAATCTTTAAATAATCCTCGAATCTGGAATAAAGATTTGAAATTTGCATAAAAATTTCTGATTTCATGAATTATTTTGGTTACTGGGATGATACGTCACTAGATTTCAAGGTCTTATATCTTTAGATACCAGAAAAGTCGTTTGATCTGTTGTTTTACCAATTGTGTCATATTCCCAATTTTGACATTTTGACTTAGTGTGGATTCGCATGGTTGGGAATGCATGTTAGGATGAGCGGTTTACCCTGATAACACACCTGGTTGTGCTACTTTTGGTGTTCATGCATTCCCTCAGTTTTTGTTTGTTTCCTTGTTTTCTATCTTCTTAATAGTTTTATAAGATCTGACCATCGGCAAACCACTGTTACCTTTATTTATAATCCAGATATATTTTGTTCTTATTCTTAACTGATATCGAAAATTAACATGTGGCACATGTACAAATTTATCTTCACTCTGAGTCTGAAACTGCTTTGAAGCATATATTCTTGAGGATATCAGAGGGGATCAGATATTATAGATAATTTTGGAAATTTGTTCATTGTTCTCAGTAAGGCTTTTGATCTTATTAACCATGCCATACTTTTAGAAAAGCTAAAATTTTATCATATCAGTGAATATATGATAAATTGGATAAAATCATATTTGTCTGAAAGACAACAAGAAGTTCAACATGCAAATATTAAATCTGATAAAACGTTTGTAAAATATGGAGTGCCTCAAGGTTCTATATTAGGTCCTCTATTATTTTTAATTTAAATCAATGATTTACCACTTCATGTTAAACAATACATTGAACATTGATTTATATACTGATGATTCAACATTGCATTTTCATGATAAGAAAATTGAAAAATTAACAGCATATTGCAAAATGATTTAAATGCTGTACAATCTTGGTGTAACAATACATGTATCAGTATGAAAATCAATGCACAAAAAAACAAAGTGTATGAAATTAAGTTCAAAACAAAAACTTACCCAACTATCATATTTATGTATTACCATAAACGAAACCTGTATTAAGAATGTCCATTCTTTCAAATAACTTGAAATTGACATTGATGAAAATTTAAGCTGGGAAGAACATGTTAGTTGTATATGTAAGATTATCTCATTTAAAATATCACTTTTGTATAAACTTAAAAATTATTTGCCTATACACATAAGACAAATATCTTATAATATTTATATATATATATTCTACCATACATAGACTATTGTAGTTCAGTTTGGGGAAATTTATTACAAAAAGATTTAGATAGAATCATTAAACTTCAAAAAAGAGTAGCAAGAGTCATACAATTTTTTTTTTCTTTAACATGGCTATCCTTTTCCAAAAAGAGTAAAATACCAACAATCAATTCTAATGTATAAAATTGTAAATGGATTAACACCTGATTACTTATAAAATGCTAATTAATAATGGTGTTAAACTGTACAACTTATGATCTATCTCTAATAACGATCTATTTGTTCCAAGACCAAATACCTATTTTTATAAAAAATCTTATTATTATTCTGCAATCAAGGTATGGAATGATTTACCATTCACAATAAAAAATTGTCTTTAATACATTATGTGGAATTATTCAAGAAACATTGTTACAATAATTTTCTTGAAAATTCTATGCAAGTTAAATAATTTTTCTTATATGGTTAGAATATGAAAACTTTATTAATTGTTGCCATTTAAATGTACATGTATGAATGATTGATATATATATCTATGTTATATGTGTGAATGTAAACTGTATACATGTATTTTGTTTGAAGGCCTCAATGAAAATTGGACTAGTTCTAATTGAGTAGTCCTCTTTAAATAAAGAATTTATTATTATCATTATTATTATTATATCTATTCTTGTAGATTGATCTCACTGTTACTTTGTGTTAAGATAGCACTTAAGAAGTTAACAAATCATAATATCATGTTAATTATATATGATTATTAGTTTCTTAATAGAACATTAGTGCTGACACTGACAGGTCATAATTATAAAACATGTATTGTATCCTACTTTAATAGATTTGATTTTGAATTTTGGTGTTTTAACGCCACTTTTAAGCACCGCTTTTGGGCTATTTCGTGGCCAGTTTTTATTGGTGGAGGAAGCCAGAGTGCCTGGAGAAAACCACGACCTTCGATAGGAAGACTGACAATCCTAGTCAATTAAGATTGGAGTTGAGTGGAGCGGGGTTCGAACTCACAACCTCAGTGTTGACTGGCTAGTGATTACAGTAGTAACTACTTAGACTACTCGGCCACCGAGGCCCCTACTTTAATAGAAAGAATGCATATATGTATGAGATGAAGAAATACAAAATAAAGAATTATAATAAAATATATTCTTGACTTGTTCCCTTTTCTATGTATAAATGTTGTTTTTTTCTTTTTGTTACTCGTTTTTGTTTTAGCGAGTCAAGCCATTGCATGAATAACACACATAGCCAGTGATAGCTGAGAGGGTCAAAGAGTAGATTGTTACCCTGAGAAAACATTGTCAACCAAGGCAAAGTTCTATCACCCTCTCAGATAAGTGTACTTTAATCTATTATACTGAATGTTCGATCATTATTCATCTTTTAAATTGAAAATGAAATCAATAAACTTTGACATCTTGTGTATAACAACAATCCATATTTATTAAAGCACAGGACTGATCAAGCGTCTTTGTGAAGGCTATTAGAATATAAGCCATGACTTGATGTGATAGAGTAAATAACCAGCCTCGTATTAACCAATCAAAATCTGGCATTTTGACATGAAGTACATGTATAATAATTCAAAATGTTCAATATCCATGTACATAGACCTAATTAGTGTTGAATATATAATGCATCATCATGATCATGGAAATACTAGTGTGTATTAAATAAGTAACACATGTTCACAAAATAGCTGGTCTTTCAAAAACACTTATAATAAGCCTATTCACACTTATAAATATTTAATCATGTTAATTATAAAAGTTGAACTGTTTCTGTTGTAAACAAATTTCATTAAAACAAAATATTATGTCCAGCTGTATTCAATATTTAATACTGAATAAAATTGAAATGAAAAACACTTAAGAAGAAATATTTTTCATTTAAGAACTGAAAGCTTCTTTTCGTAATTTTATTGGGATGTTAAAGCGTTGACCAAAGCACAACTTAATAATAATAATACATGAAGCACGGAAGCATTGTTACCAAATTTCACATTGCTCTAATTCCTAGTTCCAGAAAACTAGAGGCTCTACAGAGCCTGTGTCGCTCACCTTGGTCTATGTGCATATTAAACAAAGGACACAGATGGATTCATGACAAAATTGTGTTTTGGTGATGATGATGTGTTTGTAGATCTTACTTTACTGAACATTCTTGCTCCTTACTATTATCTCTATCTATAATGAACTTGGCCCAGTAGTTACAGTGGAAAATATTTTGTAAAAATTTACAAAAATTTACAAAATTTATGAAAATTGTAAAAAATTGACTATAAAGGGCAATAACTCCTTAAGGGGTCAATTGAAAATTTTGGTCATGTTGACTTATTTGTAGATCTTACTTTGCTGTACATTATTGCTGTTTACAGTTTATCTCTATCTATAATAATATTCAAGATAATAACCAATAACTGCAAAATTTCCTTAAAATTACCAATTCAGGGGCAGCAACCCAACAACAGGTTGTCAGATTTGTCTGAAAATTTCAGGGCAGATAGATCTTGACCTGATAATCAGTTTTACCCCATGTCAGATTTACTCTAAATGCTTTGGTTTCAGAGATATAAGCCAAAATCTACATTTTACCCCTATGTTCTATTTTTAGCCATGGCGGCCATCTTGGTTGGTTGGTGGGGTCATCGGACACATTTTTTAAACTAGATACCCTAATGATGATTGTGGCCAATTTTGGTTAAATTTGCCCCAATGGTTTCAGAGGAGAAGATTTTTGTAAAAAGCTAACAACGATGGACGACGTCGACGACGATGACGGACGACGGACCAGGGGTTAAAAAAATTTGTTACAGCTCACTAGCCCAGGACTTATTGGTAGCAGGATTTTACTAGCCCTGTTGAAAGAGCTGCTAGCCCATCAAAACTGACCTGCTAGCCCGAGTATACCTTTCAAATTTAGAGTGGGTGTCCCTTGTTTTGAATGCGGCATTATACACGGTATTTGATAAAATAAATCAAATAATTTTTTGTTTTATTAATTATAACAAGGATCTCAAGACATCTTTTTGGATATCCCTTGTACTATGGGTTGTTAAATATTTTCGGGCACAGAAAACATGTTCATTGATATTGTCATGTTAAACCAGTGGTTCAATTCGTATATTTGTTGTTCCCACATACAAAGCAGACTTTTTATCAGCGAGATCGGGAAAATAACGGCAATATTCACAAAACATCATCTCTTGTTTATCATCAGTAACAGTCGACCTTGCCCATGGGGAATCTTTCTGTCCATGACACTATAAATGTTTTTTTCCGCTTTTCCTGGTCGTATTTGGCATTTTTTGGGATAAATTTTCAGCCTCATTACCCCTTCATCTACCGTTTTTCGTTTAAAAACTGACAAAGTTCCTGTGGTGGCCGTACTAAAATGTTTAGAAATAATTTGTGCATGGTTTCAAGCTCAAATTAACAGCTGTCCGACAAGACAGGTCAATATCGATCATTACATCATACACCCAAGTACCATTAATTGAAAATCTCGGCATAAGCAATGTACAATACCCCCTGTACTGAGAAATTGATATTGAAAGTACGTGAATTGCGATCAATACATGATACCGGTCCACCCAGAGTTAGTTGTTCTATTTTTAAAACATGTACAAAATCGGTTCAAATTCTTGGAATCCCGGATGACGTACGTAATTGAATCTGATTGGCTAAGATAGAATAGTGATGAGGGGATTTTCCACTTACTATTTTGGAAATGCCAAGAATTATTTGTTACTAGTCTGTCGGGCATATTTGGTTACAAGTTTTAATTGCCCGAAGTGTAAAAGTCTAGTCCCGGGCGTCGGGCTAGTGGATTTTTTAACCCCTGCGGACGCCAAGTGATGAGAAAAGCTAACTTGGCCCTTCAGGCCAGGTGAGCTAAAAACGGCAAAATTTCCTTAAAATTACCAATTCAGGGGCAGCAACCCAACAACGGGTTGTCCAATTCATCTGAAAATTTCAGGGCAGATAGATCTTGACCTGATAAACAATTTTACCCCAATGTCAGATTTGCTCTAACTGCTTTGGTTTCAGAGATATAAGCCAAAATCTACATTTTACCCCTATGTTCTATTTTTAGCCATGGCGGCCATCTTGGTTGGTTTCAGAGGAGAAGATTTTTGTAAAAGTTTACGGACGATGGACGCAGGACAACGGATGCCAAGTGATGAGAAAAGCTCACTTGGCCCTTTGGGCCAGGTGAGCTAAAAATGTGACAAAAAAAATGAATATGTGGTCATTATGTGTAAGTCTTCCATAAACATGAAGTTGACCAAATGAGGATGTGTATCATATTATTTACAATGAAGCCCGAGAACTAATTTCAGGAAGGTCAGATTCGTAGTTCCCTCCTAATTTTTTGTAGTACATTTGTAGATGATGATAATGAATGGCTGTTAAACTTCCAGTGGGCAAATTAAATGCATATTCAAAACGAGAACATGTTCATGTAATATGAATATTAACCCTGCTTTGTACTAGACCGACATGCTGAGTCGGATTTTTAACTTGCTAGTTCACAAGATAACAGTCTGCAGAAAGACATGTCACCACAGCAGCCCACATTATTCTGACTCTGAGCCGACCAGTTTTTGCTCTATGTCCTTAATACCACATACTTAGCGGAGAAGCAGTAAATACCAATTTTAAAGTCTTTGGTTTGAACCGGACGGGTTTCAAACCCATGACCTCCTGAACTCAAGGTGAACACTCTACCAAAAGACCACCTAGTAAATTTTTTGTAGAAGAAAAAAATTCAAAAATCTGTTTGATGTGGCCTAACTTACAGCATTTTTTTCCTGTGATGGAAGAGGATTCTGTATACTTAAGTACTGAGGATTATACGTCAGACAGACAGGATCTGACCATTCTGTTTTTCCTTCCTGTCTTCCATATACCAAACCAATGTTGTTTGTTGATGCAGCTGCCTGAAAAATGTTTAAAAAAGGACAAAAATATTATGATTTAATATAAAGTATGTACGGTGTATATAAACAAGAATGTGTCCATAGTACACGGATGCCCCACTCACACTTTCATTTTCTATGTTCAGCAGACCGTGAAATTGGGATCAAAACTCTAATTTGGCATTAAAATTAGAAAGATCATATCATAGGGAACATGTATACTAAGTTTCAAGTTGATTGGACTTCTACTTCATCAAAAACTACCTAGACCAAAAACTTTAACGTTAACCTGAAGCGGGACAGACGGACGGACAGACGGACAGACGGACCAACGGATGAACGAATGGACACACAGACCGAAAAACATAATGCCCCTAGGTGGGGCATACAAACTAATGTGGATTCATTTATTTTCGTGGATACTAATTTTTCGTGGATTGAGGAAGAATTGTGTTTTGGTTTCTAATTCTGATATAAGTCCATATATATATATAGTACATTGACACATCGTCAGTGACAGAATGAATCTATTTCATAAATCATACTGATGACTTATTTATATAATTATATCATGTATATGCTACTTAGAAATAACCAATAACTGTTTAATTATTTTAAAAAAATAAAATGGAAGAGAGGTGATTACATGACATTACCAGGATTACTGTAAAATTTATTCATATTTACCATAGATGTGTACTCACATGAATTAATGAATGTCATATTAATAAAATTCAAGCCACCATGAAATATTTCTAAATTCTAAAATCATATTAGAATTAAGAAATAATTCATGGTGGCTTGAATTTTAAAATATTAAGCAAAAAGGGCCACCCTGTGGTAAAATCAATATGAATTCAAGCCCCATGAATTATTTCTATTTAAATAGGACAAAGTCTGCAATTCCTTTGGATCAAAACGCTCTAGATGATGGCAAATATTTGCTGTTCCCGAAATTTAACACAATGTTAATATTGATGTCAAAGATGAGGAAAATTGAATTAGTAAAATACTTGTACAGGTTTGGACGTATTTAAGTGATAAGGCCAAGAAAAAAAATATGTGAGTTTACTGTCACAAGCTGAAAAAAATAGGGTTGGTAGGTCGGTAATTTTTTAGGGGGGAGGGGAGGAGTTCAATTGTAGTTTCTTGACACAATTAACTACATACAGAGAAACAGAAGACACTGTAATGGTGTCTATCAGCTAGTTTTCTTCAATGGAGGACGCCATTGTTGTTTAAAACGGTAAATATGGTCAGTCAGGGGACTTATTGAAATAAGTGATTTTCAAATCACTTATTTAAGTAGCAAATTCGAAGTTTTGTCACAAATTGTGATTTTGTAGTTTTACCAAAATTTTAAACACATAGGTTTAGATAATATATTTTCATTGGTAAAATTGAAAAAAATAAACTTTTTGCTTCTTTTAAGCAGCAAGGTTTATGCCTTTGATGCAATCATTTAGCTGCAAATTCTATTTTAGTTGAAAAAATGCTATAAAAATGGCTTTACATAATGAATTGATACTTTCTTAACAGATTTTTCCCAGCAGTGGGAGTATTTTTCCTGTAAAATTCAAGGTTTCATCTTATAGATTATGTAATAAAATTCTACTGTTCGCGATCAAAATTTCACTGTTCGGGGGGGGGTGTTGAAATTAGTGGGGGTTATTAAAATAATGATACTTAAACAAGTGATTTTTATGTCATTATCCTAGATTTAGTACAAGGTCATCACCTGACATGACCCAGTCATCCTATCAACACAGATGTTGGTTCTGATAATTTTAGCAACATAATTAGTCCCTGGATCATTAGTATTCTATATTTAAAGCTACAATAAAATTAAATCACTTAGTCTAGTGATTAATTTGTACTACTTAAATAGGTGATTATCAAAGAAATACAACTCTTACTTCCAACCTTTATGGACATAAAGTTACTTTAATCAGTGATTTAGAAAATCACTCATTTAAGTAAGTCCCCTGACTGATGGTACCGGTGACAGAAAAGGCGGAAATTTCCAGGAAATTCAGAAAATTGGCAATAAAATAAGTTAGGGTCACGGCAATAAAATGAGGGTCATTCGGGTGACCGTAATCACACATATTTTTTTTTTTTTGCCTTATCCTACTTTTATTTAAGAAAATAGGCTTTTTACAAATTCTTATCATACATGTCATATTTTGTTTACGCTTCCATTTTTTGACGGCTTTCATGCATTTTCCCATAGAATGCTTATATGATTACATCATAGTTTATCGATGTCATTTACACCTATTGGCATCTGGTAACTCATTAATGAAAGCATACAACATGTGAGTATGATTAGAACAGCCTATCTAGTTGTTGCCAATCAGCTGACATATAATATACATGTATAGTTATTCAAATTTTACCACAGATGTGTACTTAAATGGGTTTGAAGAATGTTATATTAGAATGTGAATATTTACAAAGACACAGTTTTCAGAACAGTTACATTATAAATGAAATATATTTTCAATTTTGACTAGGCTAATTTAATATGTCTAATATATTTGGTATGCAACAGTTGTTTGCCGACAGACTAGCCTGGGGACCTGGCTCACTGCTGGACAGTAGAGCCAGCGGAATACAACGACATGGTTTCCTCAATTGGATGTTAGAATGATGCATTATGGGATAGCATCATTTCGTGACACATGGCGGGAAATATTCATATTGCCACGAATTTATTGAAAATTATTTTTAGTTTCATATGATATGCAATTTTCAAAAAATTAGGAAATATAATCCAAAAGTTATTGATTAACATCGTGAATCAGTTAATTAATGATTCAATCGATATATTCCTTGATTATAGAACATGCACATGCGCAGTAATTCAGTCCGGATGCCAGGCTACCAACAAACGTCAAATTTCATACAAGAGTGCACACGCTGAAATGTCTAGACTTCTTTACTAACCATTGATATCATGTTGATAGTTCTAAATATAAAGCTTTACTACAACTATCACATAAACTTAACATGATCCAAGAAAATGAGGTCAAAGTCAGATAAAGCAAACGAGAAATACATGTACACCTGACAATCATTCAATACACTAAATATAGTTGACCTATAGCTATTTGCCAAAGTTTCAAAGATACAGACCTAACAGAGAAAACTAAACATTGACCAATGAACAATGAAAATGGGGTCAAGGTCAGATGAACCATGCCAGGCAGACATGTACACCTTACATACACAAATGTATAATCTATGCATTAAATATAGTTGACCTTTTGCTTATCATGCTTATAGAATCTAAGAAACAAACTTAACCATGAAAACTTAACATTGACCAATGAACCACCAAAATGAGGTCAAGTTCAGATGATACCTGCCAGACAGACATATGCAGCTTACAATCCTTCCATACAACAAATAAAGTTGACCTATTGCTTATAGTTTAAGAAAAAAGAACAAAACACAAAAACTTAACACTGAGCAATGAACCGTGAAAATGAGGTCATGGTCAAATAAATCCTGCGAGACTGACATGCACATTATAAAATATTTCCATACACCAAATACAGTTTTAATAACCTATTTCATATAGTATTAGAAAAAAAGCCCAAAACTCAAAAACTTAACTTAAACCACTGAACCATGAAAATCAGGTCAAGGTCAGATTACACCTGCCAGTTGGACATGTACACCTTACAATAATTCCATATACCAAATATAGTAGACCTATTGCATACAGTATAAGAAAAACAGACCAAAACACAAAAACTTAACTATAACCACTGAACCATAAAAATGAGGTCACGGTCAGATGACACCTGCCAGTTGGACATGTACACCTTACAATCCTTCCATACACCAAATATACTAGACCTATTGCTTATAGTATCTGAGATATGGACTTAACCACCATAAACTTAACCTTGTTCACTGATCCATGAAATGAGGCTGAGGTCAAGTGAAAACTGTCTGACGGGCATAAGGACCTTGCAAGGTACGCACATACAAAATATAGTTACCCTCTTACTCATAATAAGAGAGAAATTAACATTACAAAAAATCTTTACTTTTTTTTCAAGTAGTCACTGAAACATGAATATGAGGTCAAGGACAATGGACATGTGACAGACTGAAACTTCGTAACATAAGGCATCTATATACAAAGTCTAAAATATAAAGCTTTGAAGAAGTTAGTTAACGCCACCGCCGCTGCCGGATGACTATCCCTATGTCGAGCTTTCTGCGACAAAAGTCCCAGGCTCGACAAAAAAGTGCTGACTTCTTGAAAAGAGGAATGATAGTGGAACCAAATCATGCCCACTGACCCGAAGGAAAGTAAACATTTCATTAATAAAGCTTGGGATTCATCGTAGAATTCACGTGGGTAAAATAGGTGATAAGGTACAAAATTCTTAAGGGTTCCGCGGAACCCAGTGTCTCGCCTACATTTGCTGTTAATCGCAGGCACAACAAAAATGAGGAAAAAATTTAATAAAAATATTCCTCTTTATACTATCTTTTGATTTTAAGTAGCTTCGGTCCAAGTTTGGTAAAAATCCAGGATAGTTTATGAATCTAATAAATGTTTTAAAAACTTAAACTGCAGACTATGTAATGTTAACTGGAAGAAAAATTAAGTCCATTTATAAGTAAAATACAGCAAAAATGGAACAAAATTTAAACAAAATTTCCTTCTAGTTACTAGCTTTTAATCATAAACAAGCTTCTGTCCAAGTTTGGTACAAATCCAAGATAGTTTAAGAAAGTTGTTAAAATTTTAAAAACTTTAACCACAGATTGAATGTAACGTTAACTGGCAGAAAAACTAAGTCTATTTATAAGTAAAATACAGAAAAAAAGGAATATTTTTTTTACAAAATTTACTTCTGGATACTATCTTATGATCATAAACAAGCTTCTTTCCAAGTTTGGTACAAATCCAAGATAGTTTAAGAAAGTTGTTAAAATTTTAAAACCTTTAACCACAGAGTGAATGTAATGTTAACTGGCAGAAAAACTAAGTCCAT